ATGCATGTAAGACACTTAGTGCCTGGGAGATAGCAAATTTTTTTATAATGTTTGCTATTGCTGCTGCTGTTGCCTTTATTATTTCGACATGTTTCTATCCAGGGAATTTTATCAATCTTGATTATATTTTTATGACACCTTCAGGGAGATTATTATTTCTAATCGATAACCCACAAAATCAAACCAAAACTGAATGCTGGAACAATCTGTCCTAACTATGGGAACTTTGAAAATCAATCCTAAGTAAGAATTCCATATATATGGACAATACTTGTTCTATATTTGTCCCTCTGCTCTGACCAATTAACAGACTTGCTCTGAACAGTAATTATTAAGCACGAGCCTCCCTGTGTTTGTGGAGAGAGATCATGGAGAACACGCGTACGTCTGGGTGAAAGGGAACGTCCGTGTAGCTCAGTACAGTGAGAGGGTGGAAGCTTGCTCTGTGACATTCTAACGCTTGTTGAATGCTGACTGCTGCCCAGGCACTACAAGGTAGATGAGGAAATCAAGGCACTGAGAGGTTATGAAAACTTCCCCCAAATTAGGCAGCTGTTTTGTCATAGAGTTGGAATTTGAATCCAGGTAATCTGACTCTAGAGCCATTATTCTTAACCTCTGTGCTATACTGCTGTCCACCAGATTGCAAAAACAAGGGTCCAAATGAATTGCTTTGCAATGTTATTTCTTCTGTTCCAGTGGAAGCCAACTGATATAGATAATGAGCATGTGGAAGTGAAGGGGCACAAAAAATTGCCCAGGTATTTCAATAATAAATTCTTCTAGGACTACAAGCTGGGTCGGCTTATGGGTGTGATTTGATTAGAAATGCATTAAATTTTAAAACTTAAATTTTAATTCAGATACCTATTAATTTGATGATTATGAGGTAAGGGAAAGCCGAAAGGAGTCCCGGCTCCAGTGTGAAGCAAAGGCAGGGATGGAGAGTCCTCAGAGAGTAACCCCCAGACCAGAGCCTTCAGTCTGATGGTCAGTTTTAGAGCAGATGCTGTGAAATCAACTAAGTGACATGAGAAATGTAGACAGGACGAGGAAGATGCTGAAGCACCACTGCGAAAAAGGAACACACTGCAGCCACAGCCACAGGTTCAGCGGCTCAGACAGTGAAGACGTGAACTTGGAAGACAGCTCTGAGGCTTATTAGCTTGGCGACCTTAGCAAGTCACTTAAGCTCTCCTTGCATCAACTCCTTATCTGGTAGTAATAATACTGTCTAAACTGTAAGTATAGATGGGAATGTAATAGGGAAGAACAAATCTGACTCCAAATTCGATCTGTTTCTTTTGCTTTAACCTTTGTATTCTATTGCTTTTGCTACAAGTTAAGAATGTTGCCTATAGCCTGAAATATACAGGATAACACATCCTCAGGCTCTGACCTTTAAGGTATAACATTTTCCATTCTTATAGAGATAAAAAGTTGCAGAACAGAATAACACTTGCTTGTTGGAGGTTTACAGAAACATGTGACCTGACTTAGTGGAGAGCTGCAAGAACAAAGGATTGGGACACCAAGAAGTTTACAATAACCAACCACACCCCTTCCCCTTTTAGTATAAAAGAAGCCTGAATTCTAATTTGGGGAAGATGGTTCTTTGGGACACTGGTGCACCATCTTCTTTATCTGCTGCCTTTCCAGATAAAGTTGGAGATAAACTTTCCAGATAAAGTCCACCAACTCGTCTCCGGATTTATTGGTCTCTCGTGCAGCAAGCAGTATAAGCTTGGACTCGGTAACACGAGGATTGAATGAACTATATATAAGAGTACCAAGTAAGTGCAATTAGTGTTTGTTGCTGTTATTAGCATCACTTATTGAACACTTACTACCTGGCAAACACTGAGCTGTGTACTTTATATAGATTATCTCATTTAATCCTTAAAACAACCCTATAAGGTATGTACTGTCGTTATGGCCAGCTAAGGGGCACAGCGAGGTACACCAAAGCACAGAAAGTTTAAATGGCATAGCCAGGGTTTGAGCCCACCTACTCACTCTCTAAATCTCCGTCTCTTAAGCACTACACTAATTGCCCCAACCCTGGTATCTGGTTCTGGAATCAAAAGGGCTAGTTTCTAGTTCTCATGACTCATTCAACAACTAATTTTGGGGCTTTGGACAAATCATATTTGGGCTGTAGTTTCAAGAATAAATTGGAAGGGTCAAATTGATTTCTGAGGACCCTTCCAGCTCTAAATTCAATGCCTATAGATCGTTATAATTGTGCATTTCCAAACTAAAGCTATAAAATCGTCAGTAGGCTTTAGCCCATGACATTTTAAAGAAATTAGGTTGGTTAAAATGTTTTATTTGTACTATAATTCAGGAAATATTTTAGAAAGGATTCAAAACCATCTTAGAGATCAAGTCTTCATAATGTGTCCACTTTTATTGAATTAGAACTGCCTTTGTAAATTAAATCTCACAGCTTCAGGAAAGAACTACCCTACATCTATATATTCTATTTGTGATGGCTTTTGATTTACTTAATCCAGCATATTAATAACAGACAACTTCCTCAAGTCCAATTTTTCCTTTTCCAATACTGAGCACAGTTCTCAGATATATGTTGTATTTTTTCCTCAAACATATTACTTCTTCAGAGTAACAAACTACCTTTTGGGCAGAAGAAATTCTCCCAAGGTCTCAAAGCACAGGTAGAAGAATCTCCCAGTGTGAGCTCTCTGGGTGAGTAAATGTTCCATGTCCATTGGTCAGAGAGGATGTGAGAAAGTGAGAACAGTCATTTCTCCGAAAGGTAGACCCAGGAAATCAGACCAGAGGGCTCTGAGCAGGAGAGAAACATGGCCTGGGTTCCCCCAGGAACGCAGCACATCCTTCCCATAGGCCAAAAAAAAAAAAAAAAAAAGGGAAGACTTTCATTGCCAGTTTTACTCCAAGTAACATCCTCCCCCAAGGCCCTCAGCGTAGGCTCACCCTTTTAAAAACAGGACTGTCTTGTGTCTTGAAACATCATGTAAGAGCAGTAATGTGTCGAATGGAGTGGAACAAAGAGGAAAGTATTAGAAATAACTGTTAGTGTTCCTTATGTTAGGTATCTAATCACTTCACCCATGCAGACACACACTTGTTACATGGAATACCAAAGGAGAGTAAGGACAGTGTGGTCCTCCTCGAGTTACGTATGCTTCCTGAATTTGATTTCTACAGCAGCTTCCTGCCTTGGAGTCCAGTTTTATCTCACTTCTGGGTAAACACTGCTACTGAATTCCAAACAGATTGAAAACTTTGTGTTCCATGTGGAGTGCACGCTCTGTGCATTTATGAAAGCCCCCCCGGAGAGAAACTGGTATTTAGGAAGCACATGCTACAGATGCCAAAGCCACAACTACATTTATTAAAACGGCCCTGGCCTTAGGCTAGTTAGGCAACAGAACTTGTTTATTTCTCAGTGTCATTTGGAAGACACCAGCATTTCAAAACTGCCTTCATTCCAAACTCCTCCACTTAGGAAGGAGGATGAGTAGGACCACCTCCCCTTTTTATAGCAGGAATTGCCTTTAGCACGTTCCAAAAGGTAAGACACCATTTAGCAAATTGACTTGGTAAATAAGGCAACGTCTTGCTGAGGTTCAGTCTAAACCCACTTTAAATAAACCCCTCGGGCTTCCCTGGTGGCGCAGTGGTTGAGAGTCCGCCTGCCGATGCAGGGGACACGGGTTCGTGCCCCGGTCCGGGAGGATCCCACATGCCGCGGAGCAGCTGGGCCCGTGAGCCATGGCTGCTGAGCCTGCGCATCCGGAGCCTGTACCCCACAACGGGAGAGGCCACAGCAGTGAGAGGCCCGCGTACCGCAAAAAAATAAATAAATTTTAAAAAAATTAAAAAAAAATAAACCCCTCTCTGCCATTCTATCTGAAAGTAAATGTATAATATTCAGGTAGCTAAAAAAACAAAACCGAAGGAAACACTATGAGAGGTGGCTGGGAATCTCAGCTGTGCAAAACGGCCAAGGCCCTGTCCTTGTTGTCTCCCTGCTCATCATTATTCATTGATAGGAGGGAAACATGATGGTCCGCTCTCCAGAAATTTCTGCTGGTACACGAGCTTGGGTGGCTTACTGCAACTAATGTGGAAATGGAGTGCGAGGCACGTCCTGGCTGTCAACACAGGGGTCTTGCTCTGTCGGGGCCATCTACAAATGGCTCCAACCAACTTGTATGATCGTCTTTAACACCTTTTTGTATTTTTTAAAGAAATGAATTTGATTTCATTTTCCTTCCCCAGTTTTCAAATAGTCATTAAAAATTAAACAACACTGGGAAAAGCCTTTTGTGATTATAGGCCTTCATTCCCCTGCAACAAACTGGATCTATAAATTTACGTACCATTGTAGATGTAAATTACAAAATTTATATTCAACCATATTAAAACATCTATTCCAAAAATGATTACCAGTTGTGAAAAGCAGACAGGCTTATCACTTGCTGTCAGTTGTTCATGTCTAGTTAAGCAATAATGTGCTAAAACTGCTCTTTTGTTTTGTGTAAGAATTTTGGCAATAGAAGAAATGAACACTTGGTTAATAAAAACTCAGGCTGCTTTTTGCTTTGATGGAGGAAGCAGCTGCCTGTTTTCATTTGCTGCAGAGCAGCAAAACCCATCAATATAATAAGCAGCTTAGATGCATCCATCCACAGCATCTGTAAGGATATAGGGCTATTCGCTCAAAACCAATCCCTGGTTTAATTTTAACAAAGATGTGTCTGACATATTTGAAAAGGCATTCTAATAGGTTTGGAAACATGAACAATTTCTCTTTCTTTTAAATGCTTTTTATGGATTCGAAAGGGTAGTATACATAGCTGAATGATAGCAATGATAAAAACCAGTCCAAACTGTGAGGCCATCCTAAAACAAGGGCAGTGAAGACAGTAAATCAACAGGCAGTTATTTGCTTCCCTTCAAAGTGGAAGGAGCTCATTTAAATGTGATTTTATTCAATTATTCATTCAAACAAATATTTACTGAATCCTTACTATATACTGAATTGGGCTAGACACTGAGGCCACATTTCCTACTCTCAACGAGTTCACTCTTCAGGGGAAAAGACGGACACAAAAATATAAGTAAAACAATGCAGTAATCACAGGGACTCACATATGCATTTTTCTATTACCTTATTCTTTTTCAAAAATCCAAATGGGCCTAGAACATGGTAGAAACTAACATAAAAATTAAAAATCACATACCGTCTCCTCAATTATATAGTTACTTTGTTAGACATACTTAAAAAAAAAGACAATCTGATAAAAAAAATCAAATTATGTTTAAACACATGTCAAACTGTTTACTAGTATAGCTAAGAATTATCACACTTTGGAGAGAAAGTTTTAGGATTTCAAGTTTTGTTTGGACAGCCTCTAATTTTACAATAACCATTAGACACTTTCACATGATCATGAAGACACCACATGGCAAGCCTAAGAGAAAACACAAACTTGAAAGCAACTTACAATGTGATACAGTATGCTTTGGCTAGTAAACATGCAGAGAGATTATTCTGTTTTATTTTATTTTACTGCTGGGTAGAATTCCAAAAAGTCAGATAATTCTAAATCCTCCTCTTTTTCTGATTCAATATCAGATAAGTGAGCATCTCAGCATGATCAACCAGGGACCTGTCTGATGGTAGACATGAATGTAGGGTTAGCCATCAGCTTCTCAGGATATCAAAATTAAATGAGCACTCATTTGTAGAATCATTGAGAAAATGCTCCCGTAAATGTAGAGCTAGGGGCTTTCTTATTGACATGCTCACTGTAAAACACACATACCTGGGTTTTAAAAATAAACTTTTTATTTTGGAATAAGTCTAGATTTACAGAAAAGGAAAAAGTTGCAAAGATAGTATAGAGAGTTGCTGGCTACCCTCCACCCAGATTCTCTCATTGTCACATCTTACATTTGTCAAAACTAAGAAACTGACATTGGTACATTAATATTAATTAAATTCATGGGTTTGTTTTTAATGGAATGGTGACTATTCAAGATGAGAGTTGATGAAGGTATCTGTCAGAAAGTCACAAATGAAACCAAAAGGACAATACTGGCATCTTTCCTCCCTTAATTCTCTTTCTTCTTAAGTTACTCTAAAGAAATTCATATCAGCCTTAAGAGCTAAAATAAGACATAAAATGCATGTACCTCAGGGTTTAAAATAAAATCTGACTCCATCAAGAGACCTGTATAGCCAAGTGAAGCCTTGGTTCCCCATTCTATTGTTGAATGGGCAGAATATTATTTTCTAGGTCATTATTCACATAGACATTCTGATTGCCCATATTCAATTAATACTTTCATATCACAGTGTGATATGGACCTTACAACCAATCTGTGGCAGCATGAGTTAGGAACCACAAAGAAGTCAGAGGTCATTATTTTTCACCCATTCAGAGTGTTTATAAAGCACTCACTGTACACCCTCTCCCTTCTGTGCCTGGTTTCTCCCCTCCTCTGCTCTGCTGCTTAATGGCTGTGCACAATGCTTCCAGAATCCTGATAAGCATCGTGGGTTATGTACTGGTTAATAGTGGTCTCTTCAACAGCAAGTTGGAAAGACACCTTTGGAGAGATTCTTTTTAGTTATTACAATTGGTAGCTGCCATGGACTGAATCGTGTTCACCCCAGATTCATATGTTGAAACCCTAACCTGCAGTGTGACTGTATTTGGAGGTAGAGCCCATAAGGAGGTAATTACAAGGTGCTAAGGGTGGGTCCCTGATATGATAGGATTAGCACTCTTATAAGAAGAGACTCCAGAGAGTGTTCCTCCCCACACTGTGCTTGCACAAAGATGAAGTCATGTGAGCACATGGCAAAATGGTGGCCACCTACAAGCCACAAAGAGAAACCCCAACAGAAACTATGTTGTCTTGGACTGCCAGCCTACAGCACTGTGAGAAGCCATCCAGTCTTTGGCATTTTGTCTCAGCAGCGCAAGCTGACTACAACAGTGGTCAACCCTTGGGGCCTGATGTTTGGGCGAATACTGCCTCTCAAGCCCCAAAACATTCTAAGCTGAAGGAACTCCCTCCCTAAAATGTAGACTGGACCCGGAGAGCAGACAGACCACAGCCGTGGCCCCAGTGGAGCCCCTTACTTTGTCCATTACTTTCTTCCTTCCCTTCCCTTCAGTTTCTCTTTTATCCCTTTCATCTTATCTCCTCCTCTTTAATTTTCACTGCAGTTTTTACCCCCCTTTTCCATTTAAAAGAATTCATAATAGAAAAGCAAACATTAATCATACTCTGATAAAGAAATTTTGCTGATACTACCTTCAAGATTTCATAAAAAATACTTTGATTTTTTTTTTTATGTTGTCTTTTTTTTTTTTTTTTGCGGTACGCGGGCCTCTCACTGCTGTGGCCTCTTCCGTTGCGGGGCACAGGCTCTGGACGCGCAGACTCAGCGGCCACGGCTCACGGGCCCAGCCGCTCCGCGGCATGTGGGATCCTCCCGGACCGGGGCATGAACCCGTGTCCCCTGCATCGGCAGGCGGACTCTCAACCACTGCGCTACCAGGGAAGCCCTTTATGTTGTTTTTGAACATAACACCTTCAGGACAGGGAGCTCATTGCTTCTCTTACTTCTCTGTGGCATGTTTACATGATGTATGTGAAGGCATGCTGGATTCATGCAGAACGGTAGCAAAACATTCTAAACCTGGAACTCACAACAATGAAAAATGAATCCTTCTTCTTTTACAAGATCTACTTGCTGAGCTTCATATGATGTATCTACTTAGAACCTGATTCTACCTGGTAGTGCAATCACAGGTCAGTTCTAGTGTGGATAAGTTTCTAACTGGGCTCAATCCACTTTCACTGGCTTTCTTATCTACATCCACAAACCTGCAGAGCTGGCAGGACAATTATCACCAGAAGACAGGATAGATGCTCTGGGGAGTAAGGCTGTCCTGGGCCTGAAAGGTGCATGTTTACAAGTTTCCAGGCCAGCAACAAAGAATCCACATTCAATAGGCCATCTTTCTCTATATCAATCCTTTTGCCTCATTCAGCAGAGCACATGTCATGGGTGCTCATATCTGGGACTTATCTGTGGATATCTACAAACATGCAGGTCTCTAATCAGAGCAGCCTGGAATGAGTCCCAGAATGGGCCCTTTAAGTGACTTGAGATACAGAAAATGATTCTCTCTGTTGCTCTTTTTTTTTTTTTGGCCCCTTCTCTTTGCTACGATAAAATTTGTAACCTTAATCCATATAGCAAAGTGTTTTCTCTGAGAATCACAACTCCTTGAGAAGGGCCTTCAAAATACACTATTTAAACTGAACTATTGCTCTGGACTTGACACCACGGTTATCTTTCTGTTGAGAAAAATACAGAAATTCTAGAGCTGTTATATTGTTACTGGCCCTTTCACACCAGGACACATGAGTGTTCTTAAGTTGAGATCAAAGTGCACGGGCTGAGTTGTTGAGAGTGGAGAAGTCATCATGGTCTCTACGGACTCATGCTGGACTTCTCAGGACAGAAAACAGATTCCCTTCTCTCTCCAACAGCAAACAGTTCACGTTACTGTGAACTCCATCATTCCTCTTCCTTGGCCCCAGCCTCAACAAATGACTGAAAAACATGGCTTCAAACCCAGTGTGTTTTATTTAGCCTGGAATATCTTTTTCATCGGTTTATGTTGCCCAATAGCACTAAAGAGATTTTGGCTGAGCAAACACTATAGTAAAAGGCGAAATTCATACCATAATTGACACGAAAAACAATAACCTTATGGAAGAAGATGAAATAGTGTTTACATATGATGAGAATAACTACTTCCTACTTTTCATGGGCGCTTTAGTGAAATCTCAATTTATGAAGTAAGGCCTAAAGAACTAAGGGGCTTGCTTAGCTAGTCAGTGGCTGAGCTTGGGTTAGGACCGCAATGCCCTAATACCTCACCTTGCTTCTCTTTTCAGAGTAAGAGACTTGAACAACAGTGTAGGAAAGACATCATGATTTGAATTTGCATCTTGTGGAAAGAATTTTACCTTCCAGGTGGAAATCAGTGCTTGAAGAAATGAATCATACACATTCCAATTTCAATGTATTCACAGGCTCTTAGCAATTAAATTTAAGTCCTTTTGGTTTCTATTTCTCGATAAACAGTTTTATGGAAACACTCACTGTCTCCAAACCATGGCTGGTGGAAGAGGCTCTAGACACATACAGCTGTAGCTCATCTAATATCAGAACCTCTGAATTGAGACCAGGAAGCAACGTACAATATTTGGAAATAGTGACCCCTTTCCCCATAATTACAATGATTATGTGCCTTGCTTTATAAAATTGAGCTTCTGTTTGTTTTCAGGAAATTTATCATCTGATTGGTCACTATTCTTACTTATTCAAATACTTACATGTAATGTGTCTTGCAATTAAGAGTTCATAGCAGGGCTTCCCTGGTTGCGCAGTGGTTAAGAATCTGCCTGCCAATGCAGGGGACACGGGTCTGAGCCCTGGTCCGGGAAGATCCCACATGCCGCGGAGCAACTAAGCCCGTGTGCCACAACTCCTGAGCCTGCGCTCTAGAGCTCACGTGCCACAACTACCGAGGCCTGTGCGCCTAGAGCCCGTGCTCTGCGACAACAGAAGCCACCGCAATGAGAAGCCCGCACACCGCAACGAAGAGTAGCCCCCACTCGCCTCAACTAGAGAAAGCCCGTGCACAGCAGCAGAGACCCATCGCAGCCAAAAAAAAAAAGAGTTCAAAGCAGATTCCAACAATTCTTTCGATTACCAGCATTCCAATCATAATAAAAGAGTCATTTTATTTTATTTTGTTGTGTCTGGGGAGGGGAAATCATGAAATATATACAATTTCCACACACAACACGGCATTGAGAAATGTAATTTTCTGTGTATTCTCTACTAAGAATATTTTCAACGTTTCTGGATTGTCTCTGCACTCAGGAATGGGATTGAAATCTCCAGCTTGGTATTTATC